GAACAGAAGGGTGGGGGAGAGAGAAAGAAAAGAGTCCAATAAAAAGAGTGGGTGAGAAATAACAGGTTGAGACTGGCAGAAGCCAGAGATAGACAATAAAACCACCCTCACATCCTTGGTTGCAGAGACTTTGGTACTTTATGTACTTTGATGATGAGTAAATGTGAATACGTGTGGGTGGATGAACAGGGATATTGATATGATGCCATGCTTCTATACTGCAACACCAGGAGATTCAGCATGTTTATCTGAAAAACTCCCATTGATAATAAAAGGAATCTCACAGATATTCTAAGTGCACAGTACTCATGTGAGCATAAACTGTTATTTAAAACACTGATTATTTTCATGGTTGCCACAACAAGAGATAGCTGCCCAGGTCCTAAGATCAGTGCAGAGGAGAGCAATGAGGATGATGCCCACTGTTAGTAGAAAAAAGTTAGAGTGATGATTAGATAAGAAGGGCTCTTCAGTCCTGAAAAGAGACATCTCAGAAGGGACCTAGTGCAAGTATCTATAATTTTAAAGGAGTTCCATGGATGTCACCTACAAATGGCAATTTTCCTGCGTCTGGAATGGAATGCACATTCTCCCTGGAAGAACACACTCTGCTTACTAAAATATTAGTGCAGGTTCCTTGATGGGCTTGGAAGAATAGCTGCTGTTTAAAAAAACAGCTTGATGGTGTAATGGGGGGGGTGGGGGGTTGGGGGGTAGTGGTGTGAATATTCTGGAAGGAGGACATCAAATCAGATTAGTTGAATTACACTAATGTGTGGTTTAGTTACACAGCCCCTTGTATTGTGGTTTGGTTGCATAGTTTCAATACAATATGGTTTAATTGCATTGTTCCAATGCAGTATATCTTGATTGCATTGCTCCAATTTAATATGGTATGGTTTGATTGCATTGCTCCTAGTGTCCTACACTATGTAAATGCACAGCAGTGTTTACAGTGACTTCTTGCTCACTCAGTTTGTGACTGCTCTTGATAAAACTTCACTGGCCATAAGCCTAATTTTTCAATGCAGTGCACAACAAGAACAACAAAAACAATGTAACATTGATGTAACTCCTTTCATATCAAGACAACATCGCAAAGCACTATGTATAGCCAACCAAAAGCCCTAGCTGAGGATGGCTAAAACTGAAGAAGGAGGGGGGAAAGGTTACCAAAAATACAGTTGAAAGAAAGGTCTTAAAGTGGGCTTTAAAAGTGGGGAGGGAGAAGATGAAGTGGAGTTCCACAGAGCAGGAGCAGATTGGCTGAAAGCTCGGCCACCAATGGTGGGGCTGATTGGGAAGGGGACATGAAGCGGAGGGAGCTGGGGCAGGAGTTAGCAGTGGTAAAGTTGGGCGAGGCCAGGGAGGGAAAGGCCATGTCCCGTCACTGCACGAATGGCAGACTAAAAGTTCCTACCAGTTTGTTGTTATAACAAATATATATTTTCTGAGCTTTCTTTTGTTTTACTTTCATTCTCAGTTTATTCCATTGGTTGCTATTTTGTATATTTTAATGGTAGGGGAAAATAGTTTGATGGTTACTGAGCGGGTAGTACCATGTTTTTAGTGACAAAGGACAACGGCAGGGGGCGGATAGGATTTCACTAGAACATAATTTTCTCTTATTATTAAGAAGAATCCTTATATTCGGTATAGCGCCTTTCACGTCAGGAGGATTCCCAAAAGCGCTTCGCACGGTATACTGTAAGGTGCAGTAACTGTGTTTTGTGGACAAACCGAGGTAGTCAATTTGTGAACAGCAACTCTTATTTTGGAGGGGAAAGGAGAATTCTTACACAATGTTTTATGTGAAATCTAATTCTACCTCCCACCTTGTGAATCCTGGCTGAAATTTCAGTATTTTGAAACTCACTATTTTTTAAAATCTTTAAATTATGTCGTAATCCCTTTTTCAGTCTGCAATCTAATCTTCCAACTTTCTCTCTTCTACACTGCATTTTTTATAAGGTATTAAAGTCAGTAATTTATCTTTAGAATTCAGTAACCCAGAAAAACATAGCTGCTAAAATGTAGAGCTGAAGGATATCCATGGGCCGCATTGTCATTTGTGAGCACAGAAAATAATCTCTCTGAAATTTTTCACAGTATATTGGCCTAGTGGAGTTAGGCAGTAATCCCTGAATATGTATGCTAAGGTTATTTCATCCATTTCAAACTGATGCCCTCTAAGGGTGAATCGAAGATGGAGTACCCAGTCATATTCGGCCTTTACCATTGCTTATCCCTGGATATAGCAACAGAAGGGAATATTGTGTTTCTAAATCTGTCGATGGCATAAAGCTGGAAGGTGTTGCAGACAATTGCAAAGAGGCTGACTTAAAAATTAAGCAAGTGGGTGGAACTATGGGAGATGGGGTTTACCATTGACACAAGAATAGCAGTTGAGAATATGTTTTAAATGGAAAAGATAAGCACTATTAATAGATGAGAAAGGAGATTCAGGGTTCTAAATCAATAAATCTACTTTGCAGATGCAAAAGGCAATTAATACTGGACTTTGTAACAAGGAGTCTGGAATATAAAGGTAATAAGGTGCTTTTCCAGTTATATGGAGCTGGACTTCATTAGGAGAAATGATATACTAACCTTGGAGGGTGTCCAGCAATGGTTCACTGGATTAATACCTAGATTGAAGAGATATAGCTGTGATGCGAGCATGGGAAACTTATCTTATTTTGCTTAAGGGTAAAAGGAGGTTAATTAACAATCTGATTGTTTTCAAAATGACAAAGGATTTTAACAAGACTTACTGCAGGTCGAGGAATTCAAAACCTGGTTAAGTTGGCAGCACTCTTGCCCTGAGGCAGAAATTTGTGGGTTCAAAGCGTATGTCAGGACTTTGAGCTCAGTGTGATACTTGAGTTGAGTGCTGAGGAAGCACTGTATTTTTGGAGGTATTGTCTTCCAGATTAGATGTTAAACTGAGGTCCTGTCTACCTGTTCAGGTGGACATTAAAGATTCCTTGTCACTATTTGAAGGAGGTTTTTCATAGTGTCCTGACCAGCAATCCCTCAGATAAAATAAAATTGGTCACTCACTTTATGGCTGCTGTTTGTGAGTCATTGCTGTGCACAAATTTGCTGCCATGTTTACCTACAAGCACGGAGTTATTACACTTTACAGAAAAGTCTGTGAAGCACTTTCAGACATTTTTCCAGGGTAAGGAGCTACATCAAATGCAAGGATTGTTATTAGCAAGGAGACATAATATTAACATTTGAGTTAGGGTGGCTAGAAGTGGGATCATAAAACATTTCTTCACACAGAGCTTTGAAAATGTGGACAGAATCAATTGGGATGTTTATCCTGAATGTCTCTCAGGTACATAAAGCATTGCCTCCCCGCGGTGTCTATGTTTCTGCCTTTGCTTAAATACAGAATGTTCAGTTCATTGTAACTCAATCAAGCTCCTCAGTTCAAAAAGAGTGCCCAGGAGATGACATGTACATGTGTCTGTATAGATCGGAGGGGACAGTGCGATTAGCTGTCACAGCAATGCTGCAAGCCCTTGCTACACTCACTGAGCATATCACTACCAATGTGAATTTGGCAAATTATTGAATTCAATCTTAACTTTGAAGTAGGTTCGCTGTAATTCTTTGCATTTGATGGAGCACATTTCACGTTAGAAGCACCTCTCAAATAGCTTCACAGAATTAACTAAAGCGTCGTGACTGTGTATTTTGTAAGTGAATTTAAAATAACTAGTAGTAAGTAGGAAAACAGCTTTGCTTAAGAATGTAATAATAAAATAATAATCCTTGCATTTGATATAGCACTTTATCACGTCTACAAGATGTCTCAAAGCTTGCCAAATTCTGTATGCTCTGAAATGCTGCATGAATAGAGTAAATTTAGTCCCAGGTGGAATTTCTCCTCATCTGTATCTAAGTGTAGAGTTACTACTGCTGAGATCTGCCGGCTCAGCACGGATGGGGACTGAACCTGTGGTTATTCAGCACTGTGTGAATGTGTTCAGTTGCTGGGGGTTGGTTTTACTAACTGAGTCATCAGTGGAGCTGACATTTTTTATTTTGGTGTTTCAGATTTAGCGGTAAGGATATTGAGTATGATGTGACTTATTACATCACTTTACTCCAGTTTTCCTCCAGAGGGATTTTTGTTGACCATATTAGATTAGGTTATCATATTTTATTCATATGCTATTTGAAGGATTGTACCTGAATAGTGTATTGGGGTAATGGGCTGGTTGCTATACACTGACCACAGTACATTAGAATTTATACTTATATAGTGCCTTTCATGTTGGGAGCATGCCCAGAAGCGCTTGACAATTCTGGCTAGGTGTGGGGGAGTGGGAGGAGTGGAAAGATAATAATAATCCTTGCATTTGATGTAGCGCCTTATCACGTCTTCGAGACATCTCAAAGTGCTTCACAGAATATACTGTAAAGTGAATTGACTAAATTTTGTGGGAGAAACACAGCAGCCAATTGCGCACAGCAATGTCCCACAAATAGTCAGAGATTGAAGTGATCATTTTTATGTATTTTTTGAAAGAATTATTACGCCTGGTAAAGCAATCTGCCAATCAACTAACAACCGGTTTCCTACTTACTACTAGGTAAACAGAGGCGCGTGGAGTAAAGAAACCTATCCAATATGCCGGGAATAGAACCCATGTCTCTCGCTTCCGAATCAAGTGTTCTAACCTCTGAGCTACAAGATCAGTGAAAACACAGTCAACGAAGTACATTTTGAGGTGTACCTAATACCTAATATCAGATAGGTTTTGCGTATTCTGTAGACGGAATGGACTTGATGGTCTCTTCCTGTTCCGTGCTCTCTTCTGTTCTCACAGTAAACATTTCTGCGGAATCAGTGTTTGCTGATTTTCTGAGTCTCTCTCTCGTGTGGTTTGTTTAGGAGATGAGCGTCCTCGAGACATGGTCACGCCTGCGCAGATGGAAGCACAGACTCAAGTGGAGAATAGCAGCACTGTGCACCGAGTGAGTCCTTGCTGCCGGAGGTGCTCCCTCGCTCTGCTCAAGAGGGTCATCTGGGGGATAGTGGTGGTCTTGAGCGTCTGTTCTACTTGGGCAGCCTCGACGCAGCTTGCAAAGCTAACCTTCAGGAACTTTGATGCTCCGTTCACTGTCACATGGTTTGCAACAAACTGGAATGTGCTGTTTTTCCCCCTGTATTATATCGGCCACACGTGCACATCTGTAGAGAAACAGTCACTACTGCAGAGATTCAGGTAGGTGGCAACAGTTTAAAAAAAAATCCTTTTTTTAAAAAAATATATATACAAATACAAATATTCATTTTTTAGCACCTTTCACCTTGGCGCTTAAATTGTTAAAGTTGGGAGGGCATGTGGATGAAACATAAAAATGCTAATGAGTTCCAGATATTATGAACAGAGGCATAGAATATAAAACTCTGTTTTATTCAGGTTGAGCTAAAGTCATGATGTGGGGCTCAAGCCACAAACCTCCTGATCCAGAGAATGATCAACAACAATCTGTTGCCCGCACGTTGGCTGACTGTCACCCTCATATTGACTGCCATATAATGAACAACCAATTTTACTGGAAAATTGTTGGCCAGGAAACTGGGAGAAACTCCCCTCTCTTTTCAAATTGTCCCATGGGATCTTAAACGTACTCCTGGACAGGCAGACAGGACATTGGTTTAACATTTCAACTGAAGGGTGGCAACTCTGACAATGTAGTGCACCTTCAGCGCTGCATTGAAGTGTCAGTCTAGATTGAGTTCAAAGTCCCAACTTGGGACTTGAATGCACAACCTTAATAATATTAATCCTTGCATTTGATAAAGCGCCTTATCACATCTTTGAGACATCTCAAAACGCTTCACAGAATATATTGTAAAGTGAATTGACTGTGTATTTTGTGGGTGAAACAAGTGTAACCTTCTTACCCAGAGGAGAGAGTGCTAAATGTTAAAGGATATGGTGGAAAGCTGGGGCATTGGGATTAAAAGTTCTGCCAGGGCCACTAACCAGGTGAAACAGGATTATTGGGCTAAATGACCTGCTCCTTTTCCTGTTTTTCTATGTTTCTCCGTAAATATATGTCTCTCAGTCTTACTTCCACCTGTATTGTAAAGCCTTTCAAAACCCAAGTTGGATATCACCTAACCAACTGGGCTCCATTTACATTGTCTTCTCTCCCAACTTTATATGTCTTGCACTCTTGGTCCTCTCACAGTTTGTGTATGGGGAAAAAAATGACTCTTGTCACGCAAGTGAGATACTCTACTTGGAAAATAACTAGACCATTACAGTGCCGTTTGGGAACATTTACTTAATCCAGCAAGCTGCCGCCTGCACACCCAGCATTTCTTCATGGATCACAGAGCTTTATAGAGGATGTAATGAGCAATTTTATTAACCCTCCTTCCCCAGCATTTATTTTGACATTGACTGTACAAAGCAGTTTATTTTCTTGAATATTTGGTCTGTAATACGAATGGCATAAGAGTGAATATGCAAGAATGTTGTGAAAAAGATCAGTAACATGCTCTCATCTGTTTGCATCTGGCAGCCGACTGTGATTGAAACCATTCATTTTAATTCAATGTAATACATCTTTAACTCAGCATCTAAATAGTTGACTAAACTAAATCAACAACCTATTTGGTCAATCAGCACCAATTGAAAGTAAATGCTTTTATTCCTAGAAGTGATTGATGTGGTAATATATGTATTGATTTGTTTTCTGTTTCACCTGGGGTCCTCAAACCAATTAATGATCTTGATGATTTATCTCCACTTTTGTTTGCCTTTTGATCAAATAAACCTAAAATGAAATAAGCTCAATTTATACCTGCCCCATTTTCTCTCTAGTTTCTCCCTTTGTTGGTTCACACAGTACCTGTGGTGAAGACAGCTTGGAGTGACTTGCATTTGTATGGCACTGTTCACCCAGGGTAGCATCAACAGAAAACAAAGGAGAACAAAACAAAATCTAGATTGTTACCAACCAGGATACATTTTCTTCAAGCCTAGATATAGATTTGTGCCACCAAGGGATTTGACCCAGAAACCTTTAACCTATGAGGTGTTTTTAAATGCCACTCAATACCATTTTTGGTGTACTTTGCATTAAAGGCAGCCTCACCCTTTCTATATGAAACAGGCCTATACATCAGACAACCTTAGGTAAATTAAAAGAGAATATCAGAGTTGTGGTGAGTGTTTAAAGTGAATTAACCCCTCCCCCCCGAGAATGGATGGTATAGTTCCTCATTTGGAGGTATTCTGGCCTAAAATGTGAGACTGAGGGGCAAAAATTCTGCCTAGTTCTACATTTGCTCTATTTGTGCTGTCACATTGTATGTCAGCCTGGTGCAGTTGTAGCACTCTCACCTCTGAATCAGAAGGTTGTGGGTTAAAATTGCATTTCAGGACTTGGAATCACATAGTCTAAGCTTTGCAAATATAATCTTGTTGTTGTTGTAAGAAGACACTCCAATGCAGTGCCGGGGAGTGTTGCATTGTTCGAGATGCCATCCTTGGGTGAGACATTCAGCCGAGGTCCTATCTCCTGTTCCGGTGGAGGTTAAAGGTTCCATGACACTATTCGAAAAGAGAAGGGACTTTCTCCCAGTGTCCTAACCTACAATCCCCCAAATAAAATTGGTCACTCCCTTCATGGCTGTTTGTGGGACATTACTATGCGCAAATTGGCTGCTGTTTTTCGCCCATTAAACACTCAGTGAATCTGCTACGTAGTATATCCTGTGAAGCGCTTTGAGTTGTCTCAACAACATGCTAAGGCTCTATATCAAATGCAAGGTTTATTATTTATGTAGCATTTGAAAACATCCAGAAATTTTGGGCAATTTCTAAAAATGCATATCCATTTTGAAGCCATTTGTATGTAACTTTATTTTCAGAACTACAGAAAAGCAGCTTCAAAGCTCAGACTGAATTCAACAATTTGCCAAATACTGGATATTCTGAAATATTACATGGAGTACTTCTAGACCCAGAGGAGCTTCTCTCCAAATGTTTGTTACCTTAATTAGATGTCAGCCCGGCTCAGCTGGTAGCACTTTCGCCTCTGAGTCATGAAGGTTGTGGGTTCAAGCCCCACATTTGGGACTTTGAACTCACAGTCCAGGCTGACACTCCATTGTATTGTTGGGGGTGTGGCATTGCTAGAGGTGCCGTCCTTCGGATGAAACTCCTCTGCCTGTTTCAAAGCACCCCCCCAATGAAGAAGCCCCCCAATGACTAACAACTCAATGGCACTGTTGAAAAGCCAACAGTTGGCTAACAATCCCCCAAAACAAAAGTTGCTTGCTTCAGAGCTGTTTATAGGACATTGTTGTGCACAAATAGGCTGCTGAGTTTGTTACAAATACAGTCATACAACAACAATAACTTGCACTTATATAGTGCCCTCCACATAAGGTAGCGTCTCAGAGCACTTAACAATTGCAGAGCCTGACTCCGAGCCGGGGAGGTGGCGGGTGGAGAGTTGGTCGTAAGCACGGTTGAAGAGGAAGATTTTCAGGCGGTACTTGAAAAAGGGGAGAGAGGGGCCCAGGCGGAGGGTTTGAGAGAGAGTCATTAGACTTTACAGTAAAATCCATTGCAGTATTCCTAAAAATATCTCATTCCTTATTTAGGAAACGCGGTTAAAATGTGTTTTGAAATCAATCCCCACCCACTCAACTTCTGAAATAATTCTAACTTTATTTTGTAAAGTACTCTGAGATATTTATTTTTATGTGAAAGACACAATATACATGCAAGTTATTTTTTACTGCCTCCTTGTAGCCTGACACTGAGGAGGAAAGGTCGGACAGGTGTCCCAACATTCCAAAGAGAAAAAGAGGTTAACATTTTGGAAATGCTGAAGAGATCATACTCAAAACTTTAACGCAGTTCTATAGGAAAGCTCCCGTCGATGTCTTCTGTCCTGCTGTTCAGACCTTCTCAACCTACCCAATCTGTCCTTAAAACTCTCTGAACCCACGTGCAACTTAGGCATCAGGTTTGATCCCCAGTTATCCTTTCTCCCCCATATCCAGTCCCTGGTCAGCATAGCTTTCTTCCACCTCTGCCACATTGCCCGTCTCCGACAATACCTCACTCCACACACTGCGCCTCGCCCCTTCTTTCCTCATTTTCAGGTTGCGCTTGAAGACCTTCCTCTGCGAACATGTCTTTGGTCACCTTCTCCTTCCCCTGGCTCGGCATCGGACTCTGCCATTGTTAAGCACTCTAGGATGTTGCCCGCCACGGAGAGAGCTATATAAATGCAAGTTGTTGTAGTTATATCAAATGCAAAGATTAGTATTTTATTCTGTTTTATTTCATAATTTCCATCGTTCACAGTTTTCATTTTTATTTTTGACGAGGTCAAGTAGAGTTCGCTTCTCCACCCCCTCCACCCAATCATCACACAATGTAAAGTATTGGTGGAGAGAATGCAATACGTGACAGTTATAATTAGTAATATTTATCACATCACACACTATGCACCCCCTGTTATTCCAGTACTGCTGGGTTTTCACTATTAGTTGTGGTAAAAGCACTCAGATCGTACTTTATTCTCAGAGGTTTATTTGTGTTGGCTTCTGCAACCCTTCTGTGGATCAAAATTACAGTTGGCATTTTGTGTAATGACATTGATGTCATCCTATTATGGGATTTCTCCATCTTATCCACATATCGTCAAATATCACTGTACAGTACACCAAGCAGGTTTTCAGTCCTCTGCTGTTCAGCACTGGTTCCATTTCTTGTTCTTCTGACTTTTAGTGAATTCTTCCTCTGAAGTACATTAGCAAAGCGCTCCGGGACACTACCCCGCATGATAGGCGCTATATAAATTGCAAGTTGTTGTTGTGTTAGTAATGATACATCTTTCAGCCTGTGAGCTCATCACGAACCCACAGTAATTTCTGTCCAGCTCGGAAACCTCATCAGTTTATTTCGATTATCTCATGATCTGAATCAGGGGCTTTGGTGCCGCTAGAAAAGTTCCATTATGCAAGAAAGTAATTTCACCAAATGATCCTAATACTGAGAGAGAGAGAGAGAGAGAGAGAGAGAGAGAGAGAGAGAAAATCAGAGAATTTACGGGTTTACAACACTGAAGTAGACTTAGCATTTGTTATTACTCATGTCTGTGCTGTTCATCTACAAAATGCACAGTCACTACACTTTATAATAAAATCCTGTGAAGTGTTTTGAAATTTCCTTTCAATGTGAAAGGTTCTATATCAAGTGCAAGGTTTATTATTACTATATATTTTGCTTTGTCATTTGTTCCGGTGTTTGTGCTGTCTCCCTCACTGAATCTATCTGTTCCTTTACTCTTTAATGTTATTTTCTCTCAAGTGCTACGTTTATCCAATTGCTTTGCTACTGCTGTTATAGACTCGGCTTTCACAACCATTTGTGTAAAATGCTTTCCATGTTCCTCACTCTAAAACACGTTCTTCGAAACTCCCCCTTGTTTCTTCCAGTGAAAAGTCTCAAAAAGAGACAGAGTTTTCTATATTTAATGACAAATGCAAAGCCTGAATTTAGTTTTTCCATTTCATTTGGTAACATTGGCTTTAAAGGGTTCTTTGCTTCTTAGTGTTAACCCTTCCTGGCCTAAAGGCGACATCCATAAGTGTGCAGTCCTAAATAGGTGGTGCTCAACATTAGAAACCCTGGCGAGTTTCCCCTCCTCATCCCAGCGACACCGAGGATAGATGTTATTGCCTGACTGAAACCAGCTCGCAGATTAAGGCACAAACCTAGGGCACTCCATATCCATTTGCCTAGGTACTACATCTGGTTAACTTTGAAGTCAGAAGATTCAGATATCATTAAAAACATCTAGAAAACTTTCTCTACCGTTATTTTTTGTGTCCATAAAAACCCATTTATTCATAAAGGACTACATTCTCTTTTGCAAAGTGGAACAGGTGACAGCAGTAAAATACTTTCCAGGCATCTTGCTTCTTTGCTAGTATTGTGCCTCTGATCTGCCCTGCTTGTGCCCTCAGCTTTCTAATCAAGGGAAATTGGAACTATAATGACTTACTGGCCAAATAGATAACTCTTGTTCTAATGTTATGACAGACATAAAATGAGATCCCTTGCATTTCCATGATGATAGCCCAGATATGTAATGCCCCTCAGTATTGCTCTTATCTGACATTACTAATCTCCTCCACCTTAAATATATCAACAACTTGCTCTTAAACATACATGCTCTCTAGATTGATCTTCACATTTGACAGGTTGTAGGAATATTCTTACACTCAAGTCTTAATTTGGAAGCTAGTTTCCTGCAGCTTTTTAACAATTAAGTGAAATCGGTTTACAAGCTAAGACTGAATTTATGAATTTTCCAAAATGTTAAGATTTCCAAAATCTTAAGGAAAAGACGAGGTGAAATTTGGGGCCTGGGTATTGTAATCCAAGGAGCTCTGTAAAACTTAACACCAAGTTTATTGGAAATGCTATGAATATGTCTACATAAGTTTAAACACATTCTGTGTGTTTAAACTGATCAGCAGTGTGATAAACTCACCCAGGAACAGTCAGAAAAGTTGCGCTGTTCATTGGGAATGTATACCGTGCAGCCTCTTCAGATGCTTCCTGAAGCCGGGAAATAAGTGACTGAATAAAAGGTTCTGTAGCAATCTAAACAGTCTGTGTGTAACAGAGCTCTCAGTGAGGCCTAAACTGTCCCCATGCAGAGAAAAATTTAATTTAGAAATGTTTTGTACTTCTATCTCAATTATCAATAGCCCCAAGATTTTTCACCAAGCTTTTACTCAAAAGTGAATGTGTGGTTTAGGATCTCTGTAGAACCAGGTACATGATGGATAACACTTCCTTTTCCTGTGTCTTTTCATTAGGGAATGCTCCAGTTTTTTCAGTCTCGATGGTTTGACTGGCAAAGTATTCTTCACAAGAACAGCCCCCTTCTGTGTCCTTTGGACTTTAACAAACTATCTGTATTTACTCGCTCTCAAGAAAATTAACACGACGGACGTTTCAGCGTTGTTCTGCTGTAATAAGGCCTTTGTGTTCCTGCTTTCCTGGATAGTTCTACGAGACAAATTCATGGGAGTTAGGGTAAGTGACCTGCACAAGTAACAGATCATTTGCTGTGGGCAGTCTCCTGCACTTCTGGGGTTCTGGATTTTGCCTAACTGTGTTTAGCTACTCATTCAGATGTCTGTTGCCTGCCAGAAGGTTTCATTTCATGGACTTGGATGAAAACCAAAATGTATATGGATCATTAGCAATAAGGCTTCAAATAGCTTAGTGGTTAGAGCACTCACCTCACAAGTGAGAGGACATGGATTTGATTTCCAGGCAGGCGAAACGTTGGGCAAGTTTCCTGACTTCACACGCCTCTGTTTACTTAACAGTAAGTAGGAACCCGGTTGTTATTGATTGGCAGATCGCTTTTCGGGGGTAATAATCCCTTCAATNAAAAATAAGTAATTTGGTCACTCAATCCACGACTGTTTGTGGGACGCAGCTGTGTGCAATTGGCTGTCGCATTTCGCCCATAAAATATACAGTCGATTCACTTTACTGTATACAAGAGGCAAAATACTGCAGATGCTACAAATCTGAAATAAAAATAGAAGTTGCTGGGAACTTGCAGCAGGTCAAGCAGCATCTATGGAAAACGTGATAAGGCGCTATCTCATAGTATTATTATGTTCTATCATTTTGGAGCAGTGTTTATATCTACCTCTAAGCTCCTCTGATGGCCAAGAGGGTTAAAGGCAGCACTGAGCCATCCTAAGTGAAGGTTCAGGTCAGTGCTAGTTTGGTTGATCTCAGTCAGACTTGAGAAATGAACATACCTTTGTGTCCTAGTTGAATAGCAAAGGTGACAAAGAGTCTAGTCTAGTTGAATAGCAAAGGTGACAAAGCTAACTGGTAGGGTGAAGTTTATTCAGGAAAAAAAAAGTCTAATTTGATAACCGACTGAGTAAAGGGTAACTAAACTCAACTGTTTCTCTTTTCTAACCAGATAGTTGCTGCTATTCTTGCCATCGCTGGGATAGTGATGATAACCTATGCTGATGGCTTTCACAGTCATTCGGTTATTGGAATTGCACTTGTTGTAGCATCAGCATCCATGTCTGCTCTTTATAAGGTAATTCCACGACTGGTGATAGAGGCAGAATCACAAAGAACTAAAAGATTATTTCCCTGTGGTCTGTGGGTAAGGGTCATCCCAAATGTGTACTTCCCCCACAACACAGTGTTTGAAGCCTTTGACTGGCCACTTTTGGTTAGTCAGACGCTATCAGTACAGTGTAAATGTATGGCTCTTGTGGAGCAATCTCTGGTGAAACACCTCATTCATTTACTGAGACGTGAGTTACACCCACTAATTTCACAAAATGCCCCGAATTCTGTTTCAATCATCAAAGCCAATAGTTTATATTAACTTGGCTGGTACTGATGTAAGTACTGATGTCTGAAGTAGAGACTGGATCAACTTAGTCTGATCTAAGCAAACAAACTTACATTTATGTACAAGAATTTAGTGAGGCAGTTCAGTCCATCACCTCCATTACCAGTCTCATGGCCTCTTCCTATTCCTATAAATCTCCTCAGAAAATCAGGTGACTAACCACAGATAAAATATCCACAATAAATCTCTGTATGAGTTCCCCTATCAGAGTTCCAAGCTATCAATATGACATTACAACCTGCATTTCCCGAATGTTGACCAGTGCCTTTCCACACAACATTCTCACGCTTCCTGTCATCTCACCCACAAAATACACATAGTAACTACACTTTACAGTGAATCTTGTAAAGCCCTTTGAGATGTCTTGATGACATGATGAGTTACTATATCTAATATAAGAATAATTATTATTATTGTCTTCCATAGAATATTTAATTGGGTTCTAGCTTGTAATATTCACAAATCACTTTTCATTGTCCAATTGTCATTAGTTTGCCTCAGCAGGTTCCTATGAGAAAAAGCCGTTTAAATTGTTCGATTCGTAAAATTATTAATTGTACATCTGAAAAGCCGAACAATGCGGGAAAAGATTCCCCCCACCTCCCTGATCCCGACCCCCAGCTCAGGTCCGAAACACTGATTGTCCAGCGCCTTGGACGTCCTCCCGACGTGGAAGGCACTATACAAATGTAATTTTGTTGTTGTTGTTGTTGTAAACACATGAGGAAGCATTGAATGAGGAAAAGTCATTATGCCCACTCTTGACGCTTTTCCTTTCTTGAACCCCGAGGTGGTTAGAGGTGGGGGGGACCATCCAGAGGATAGCTGTAATTTATCCTAGTGCTAGGACTAGGCCACTGAGAGTGCACCACTGACTCAAGGTGAGTCAGCAGACCATCACCCCTATTGGTCACAGTTTGCACCACAGCCACCAGTGATCAGCACAGGCAGCACTGGATGTCATGCCAATTCAGCCCCTTAGCTTTTATACTAAAGGAGCATTTTACCTGTAAAAACAATTTGGCAAATATAGATTAAAGAGGGAGAAGAGCGACGTGTGTATTTTGTCATAATGACATTGACATGCTGAAGTTTATTTCAGCATAATTTGTCCTTTTGTTATGTGTTCGTTTATTCATTTTAAATAAAAATCAGCCGAATGCTTTTTCATAAGATTACTGCCCCTTTTATTTGTATTAACTAAAGTGAAATCCTGCCTGACTCGTTCTGATTGAAAACCTGTTCTGTTTCAGGTGTTGTTTAAAATGCTCCTGGGCAGTGCAAAGTTTGGAGAAGCAGCCTTATTTTTATCAGTTTTGGGAATTTTCAACATTATTTTTATCACTTCTGTTCCTGTAGTACTTTACTTTACGAAAGTTGAACACTGGGCTTCATTCAGCAATATACCCTGGGGAAACCTGTGTGGAATGGCAATTCTACTGCTGTGTAAGTTTTGACGCTCTTTGAAACAGTCTGTCTAACTTTTTTTTAAAAAAGATTTTTTTTGTCATGTGAGATATATGTATTTTATTTACTTTCCTTTGAGCGCTGTTGGCTCTGCCAGTGTTGGATTGACCCAGGTAAATTCCCAATCTGAAGGACATTACAGGTGGCTTCAGGACCACTGTAACATTGTATTCAGAGATCTCCTGAATGCTTCAACTGTAGTCTCAAAGTGTAGGATCTGAAATGACTTCCTACCCTGAGATGGCTGTATCTTAATTTAATCCTGACATTTGGATTCAAGAATCACTGGTGGTAAACTGTATAGTTAAGGACACATTTGTCCGTTTGAACACAGTTGGACCATGAGCCATTTGTCCAAACTGCCCCGTTATGTGATGAGATCGGGTCCTAAATAATTTTGAAGAGAAATATAAAATAATTGAACACTTATAATAATTGAATATGTGTTGCAGTATTACTTTAACCCAACCTGCTATCTTGTGCTTCTTATTTCAGTTTTTAACATAGTCATAAATTTTGGGATTGCTGTTACTTATCCCACCCTGATATCAATTGGAGTAGTCCTAAGTGTTCCTGTGAATGCTGGTAAGAAAGGTCCATTTTCTTATTATTTGCACCGGGAGAGGGAGGGTGATGGGGGGGCCAGTGAAGAGAAATGGTGTGTGAACTATATTTCTGTGTGTTGTCGGATAAATGTGGTAAAAACAACTGGACAATGTTTTTCTTCAGTTCTTCTAAACCAGTGAGAATAAGTCAGATTTATTCGTAAGAAAATCCAGTTTTCAGGTTGTGAGTACAAGTGAATGAGGAAGCCGTGTACAGTGACTCACTCACTTAAGCATCAGCTGCCCTTTGTCAGCAAGCTTTCAGGGGAGAGATTGCTTTGTGAGAAGGAAAATCAAGGCTTATGTCATCTCAAGCTACTGTTCTTTTGAGGTCCCAGCTGCTGATTATAGAGTGACATTGGTACAGGCCAGGAAACAGCTGCCTTCCCCTTTCTGTGCGCTGGTAATACTCTTCCAACTTATGTCCAACAAATCAAGTCACATTTATATAGCTGTCTACATAAAAGAATATCTCAAAATGTTTGACAATAGGAGCAATAAACATTGAGCCAGAAGTGAGATGCTTTAGAGGTGTCTGAATGTACAGGTGAAGATAGCAGGGATGTAAAGCAAAGTGGTTTTAGAAGCAAGTTCCAGAGGATCAGGACTTACACGTGGGGTGATATAATAATGTAATATAATCATTGCATTTGACATAGTGCCTTATCAAGTCATTGAATGAATTGACCATGTATTTTCTTAGCAAAATATTTCTCAACTCCAGAAACAAGTGAGGAACAACACCACCAACTAAATTACATTTGTATAGCACCTTTCACATTGGGAGGATATCCCAAGGCGCTGACCCTTCAGTGTTTCTGACCTGAACTGGGGGTCAGAGTTGGGCAGGGAGGAAAGCAGGGTGATCGAAAGCACGGTCAAAGAGAAGAGTCTTGAGATGGGTCTTGAAGGAGGCAAGGGAGGGGGCGAGGCAGAAGAACTGCGGGATGGAGTTCCAGAGGGTGAGGGCAAAGTGGCTGAAGGCCCGCCCGCCAATGGTAGGGTGGGCGAGGCAGGGGACATGAAGCAGGCCGGAGCACACTGAGCGGAAGGAGTGAGCAGAATGGTAGGTGGATAGGAGGTCACAGAAGTAGGGGGGAGCAAGGCCATAGAGGCTTCGAAAGTGAGGACCAGGATCTTGAACTGTATCCTCAGTGTGTTGGGAGGTTGGGAAGGCAGAGTGGGTCATGGCACGGATGTGGGGTAGAAAGGATAGTTGACAATTAAACAGGATGCCAAGGTTCCAGACTGGCTTAGTCAGGTGGAGTGTGCATTCATGGATGATGACGCTATCAGTCTTGAGGTGCTGACGGAAGCCAATCAGGAGGCCTTGGTCTTGTTGATGTTCAACTGAAGAAAGTTCGCTCTCATCCAGGACTTGACGTCTGACAGACATTCTGTCAGGACAGCAGTGGTCCTGGAGTCAAGGGTGGAGGCAGTGAGGTACAGTTGGGTGTCATCTGCATACACGTGGAAGTTGACCCCATGTCTGCAGATGATATCACCAAGAGGGAGCATATAGCTATTGAAGAGGAGGGTACCAAGGAAAGAGTCCTGAGAAACCCCAAACAAGATGGTGCGGGGGCTAGAGGAGAAACCATTTGTGGAGATGAAGTGGAGGCGGTGTGAGTGGTATGATCTGAACCAATCAAGGACAGAACCATAAAGGTTGAGGTGAGAGGAGAGGCGGTGGATGAGGATAGAGTGGTCAATGGTGTCGAAGGCAGCTGAGAGGTCAAGGAGGATGAGGAGGCAGAAGGAGCCCTGTTTGCAGATGGACAGAATGTCATTTGTCACTTTGACCAGGGATTAAAGGTTTGGCAGCATTAGTAATCATGCAGCTTATACCCATTTTCACTGGTCAATTATATGGTCTTACAGGATTGTGGACAACTAGTGACCCAAACTCCAGAGAGTGTGGTATGGAAGTAGAAACCAGAATGCTAACTGATAGAATGGATTTGAAGAAATCCATTAAATCCTCTCATTGCAGTATGGAAAATTAGTGAAGCTTGGCGGTGATTGAGCTGATAGCAGTTTGAAAAGTTGTACAGGACATCACTTGGGTCACAGAGCACAGGACAATTTGAAATCTCTAAAAGAGAGAAGAGCATTGGGGAAATCTATCCTACAAATAACAAAGGGATAGGCTGTGCTATCAGGCAGCCTTGCTGGAGAACGCTCATGAGTGGACATTAGGTGAGAACAGGATCAGGCATCACAGTCACTGTTTAAGCTCACAGAGGAAGAATGATGACTTGGGTGAAATACAGAAAATGGTTGATATCTGTGAACTATTCCCCAGCATGAGTCAGTAGCTAGTCCAGAAAATTAGATTAAAATCCTTGTCACTACTTCTTAATGTGCAGTGGCTACACATCAAGAGCCACCCAGCAACAAGACCAGGCATGAACATTAATGATGTCTGCTCAGTAGTCTTATACCCATCTTTATAATATATTGCACCAAGCTGGAATAAATATGATGAGTCAAAGCAAACCTAAACTAGTAAAGATTTGAAATAGTCATGCTTAAACAAAACACCTAAACTGGAGCACATATGTAATTCAGACCACATGTCATATAGATTGACATGGATCACAGAATGGAATTAACATATTTTTATTCCACCCGGGATGGACTGTGTAACTCTGCTGGTGACATTGGCTTGAACCCAAGTTAACCCCTGGTGAATGTTGTGTTCCACCCCTACAATGGGAGATCCATTAACAAGTAAGAAATAAAAGATTTGGCAACATACATGATCAGTGCAGGTTATAACCTATTGTCCCCCTTGTGAATCATGTGGGCTCACAGGAGTAGGGCTCAACCTGATGAGTTGCTGTATCCACATTTTTAGGAAAAACTATTTACTAAGTTTTCCTCTCGATTTCAAGAAGAATACATCTGCACTGTGATCAGGCCCACTATGGGATAACACATTGCCTTAATTTGGCACTAAGTAGTGGCCTGTCTCAGAAAGAGCAGAGTGGCTGAGGTGGGAGATGTCATAGGTAATACTCACACTAAGATTCTGGCTTACAAATCCTGCAGTCCCTACCCAGCCACTTAGACAGTCTTCAACAGACCAGCATTATAGCCTGTACCCTCTTCTGACTGGTATATTTTGCCTTTCCCACTCCCTTCAACGCATTGTTGGCTGATCCTGGAGCACAACGCCCTGTCCTATGGAATTCTCTTCCAATAGCACTTTGCCTTGCTCCCACTCTCCTTGCATTCAAAAATTATCTCTTTGATTGTCCATTTGGTCAACATTTTTAAATATCTCATTTCCTTGCTCAGTGTTTTGAGGCATTCTTCTAGTGAAAGGGGATGTATATACAATATGAAATTACATTTGTAAAGCACCTTTCACGTTGGGAGGTCTTCCCAAGGCGCTGGTGCTTTGATTTGCTGCTGGAGCTAAGTGGAGGAATCTTTATTCAGCCTCTAACCTTTATTGACACTCAGTGCTCTAAATGTCGCATTTCCTAGTAACAACATCCCTCACTGTGACAAAGACAGAATTTGTGAAGTGAAGCAATTTGTGGATTAATTAATGCCAGAAGGTCTGCTCCATAGCAAACCCTGATGGTGCTCTTTGTTCTTCGCTGCAGTTGTGGACGTTTACACCAGTGATATCGTCTTCAACGGTGTTCGAGTGATCGCTGTCCTGATAATCTGCCTGGGGTTCCTGCTGCTGCTCCTCCCGGAGGAGTGGGACAAAGTGGCCATGAAACTTCTCACACGCCTAAAAGTGAGGAAAAAGGAGGAGGTCACGGAGGAGCGCGGGGAGCCGGGATTCGCAGGTCAGAGCTGGCACAGAGCGTCCAGGACATCAGCGGCAGCAAGGACATTCGGACATTCTTTCTAGCACCAATTTTACCTGGAGCCGGTTGCACCAAACACTTGTGTGTATTACACGGGATTCAAGCTTTTCTGGTAAAAGGTTAAAAAAACCTAAATATAAGCACATATTACATATGGTGTATATTTCTTAATTCTTTTTATAAAGCATTGGGCATGTTGTCTAATAGCTTGCATTCTTCCATGTCAGGCCTGTCATCAGGTGATTTTAATAAGAAAGGGGTTTAGTCTGACTTCTCCTCTCTCCACCCCCTCCCAACCCCCCACACACACACAAACACATACACGCACTTCTCACCCATCTCGTCCAACCTATTGCTTGCTCTGCTGTTGCTAGCTGTGGAGGAAATGAAGGGATACGATGGCTGCTATCAGTTTGTACCAGAACTTCAGATTACAGATTCCCAGGCTGTGGTAACTCACGCTTGGGGAACAGATATTCCTTAGATTGAGAATCACGTTTAAAGATTGTAGAGTTTATTTACAACTCATGATTTCTATGTTATACTAAGTGTTCATTGAGGGCTAGAGTCCTCAATGGAGTCCTGTAACTCAGTGGTTAGAGCACTTGTCTCACAAGCGAGAGACCTGGGTTTGATTGCGCGCAGGGCAAAACCTTGAGCAAGTTTCCTTACTCCACACAACTGATAATAGCCCTCAAGAAAAAAAGACAATAATAAATTGGTCATTTCAATCCACGACTGTCTGTGGGACACTGCTGTGAGCAATTAGCTGCCGCGTTTCGCCCACAAATATACAGTCAATTCACTTTACAGTATATTCTGTGAAGCGCTTTGAGACATTTCGAAGATGTGAAAAAAGCTATATCAAAAGAATTATTATTATATCAAGGGAGATCTGTGTTGGCGGCCCACTCCATAGTGGGCAACTCCTGTTTAACCAATTTCTACTAATCCCAGTGGGAATGCCATTATGTCTGCAGGAACATTGAGACAGGAGGAGGCTATTTGGCCCAGGAAGCCTGTTATGTTATTTTATTAGATCGTGGCAGATCTTTTAATTTCATTTCCCTGCCTTTTCTCCATATCTCTTAGTATTTTTGCTTCCCAAGGATCTATTTGTCTGTCTCCTTTTACATATTGCAATTGATTTGCCCCTTTGGTCCCACATTCTCACCACCCTCTATGAAGTTTTCCATTTATTATGAAGTTATTAAATTAATAAGTTAAAAATACATTCCAAACGAGGCAGAGGCGCAGACCCAAAATGTAATGGTCCAGATATGCTCGATCTGGTATCTGTAGAGCTCAGGTGAAACATACATCAACTTATAACAAGTTTGCATGCTTAACTCAACATATCTATTTGAATAAATCTGAACGTATTGTTTTTTAAACCTAAAAATAATTCTTACACTCTTTAGCATAATTGGAATTAGAGAAGAGCAGGAACGGTAGGATGTAATTTAGACACTGCGGACAGTATCTGGTACCTGCATATTCTTCACTGCCAGAAGCCCTCAGACCATTACTGTGGCATAATGCTGATCTCCCTGTGAATCAGATGACTGATGACAGGCCTGCCTCGGGAGCCGTTTCAATTGAAACTTTTTTTTTAGGGAATGGGTTTTGTTCCAGGTTTTTTTTAATGCTGCTGATCTTGAAGCAGTAAATGGGTTCTTTAAACCACGTGGCATCACCAGTTTGTAATAAAACAAGAACGTCTCACTTTATTTATTAGAAATTTGATCATTTGAACTGTGGTACAACGCACAACAGATGGTCACATGCCAATTCATTTTTTATACCTAAAAGAAGTTAAACTTTGATTGCTGTCAATTTACTTGGTCCTTTCTAAAGTTAAATGTACTTTTGGGTTTTGTTAATAAAGTGATTCACCTATTTGAGTGACAGTTCTAAGCCCTGCCCTGTTGCCCTGTGGCTAGACCCACAGCTGGTGTCTTGTGAGCACCAATTAAATGAAGGGTGGTGCAAAAGAAATTTCAAACTGTAACTTTTAAAAATGAAGCTTGTTTGGCATCAGTACTTTCCTCCAAACATTCAAGAGTTGTAATTAATTATTTGCCTTGACCATTTCTCTGTACAAGGGGAGTTTTGATGATATTATCAGGATGCAGCATGTAACAGACTGGGTGACGTTACTGAGCTCCACATTGTAGGGGAACAGAATTAAAATAGTCAAGGTTATTGAAGGACCCAGGGTCGATTACTGTATCCCTGTGGATGTTAATTCAGCTTGATGTTTTGATGTGATGAGGTTCTGTATCAAATGCAAGTACTGTTAGTATATTGTGACATTTTTGCCTTAAGGAACCAGCTTTGTTCCTGGCTTAGGTCTGAATCTGAATTCATCGGTCCTTACAATGTCAGTAGGGTGCGCCATTACAGAGCATAGGATCCAGGTGATGTGTGGGACAAACTCTTGATTTCTATCCGCTCTGAAACTATTTGATGCTGTTTGGTAAAATGTTCCACTTCCTCAGAACTATCAGTGGTCACCTTGACATGAACATGCATGCAAGATTTGCACTATAACTGCACTTTCAAACTGAATTCTGTACAGTGTAAGATATTTGTGAAATATTTTAGACAAACAATAAACACAACATTTCACAAACAACATGGAACTGGTTAACCTTTGAGAACAGCTCCAATATTCTCCCGGTTTCAACTTTGGCATTCTACAATAGAAATAACCTTGTTTTCTGTTCTACAGAATCTCCAAACTGCAGAAATTCACTGCGCAAAAGAAGTCTGTACTAGCTCATTGAAAGATAAATCTGTTCAATCCCATTTACCTTCCTTTTCCCTGTACCCATTCAAATCTCTTACCTGTTTTCCCACAGTTGCCCCTCCTGCCCAAGATGCCCCCTTCAAGGGATGGGGCTAAGCCACATGGAGTAATAAAACTGCTCCATATTTGGTAACCACAAAATATGAACAGATACGTTGGTCCACTCTCTCTCTCCCCCTCCCACCACCATACTTGGAACAAGAAACAGTTATTTTGCTAGAAAGCATCACTCCATGTTGCAGTATAACAAACGTTGGCCATTCAGAGAACAGGGTGATTGCCGTAGGGAAAAGGAACCAGACAGACTCCTGGCTGTTAAAAGGATTCAGTGTTGTTGGATTGTGAGATACACATGTCTAACAAATCTTTTTGGAAGTTAAATATGTAGCTGATGGGCCAATGATTCTACTCCTGCTGGAAATTGTTGCTAAGTTCCTATAGCTGGTTGTTTGTGGTGGACAAACTCAACATTTGGATTCTATGAATGGGAACAAGCCTAAATAGGAGGGTGTGAGGTAAGAGGAAAGGCTATCGCAAGAATGCTTCTGGGTCTTTGAGAAAGCATCACACCTCGAACTAGAGAGGCAGCCTCCAGTGTTCTTTACTCTTGGTTTCCCAATTTCATAGCAATTGGCCGCATCTGAGCAATTGAACAGATGACCTCTTCCCAATCAGTTGGCCTGGGCACCCTGAAGCCATGTACAGTACTAAAGAAGGCTTAAGACTGGCTTGACTTGTTCTCTTCTGATAATCCCTCACTTTCCACCCATCTCCTCACTGTTTGGAAAGTAGAATTCTCCATCCCACCGCTCTGCTCATGTGTTCGATTACTGTAGCACTGAACCACAGAGTTTTCTGGAAATCATATTTATTGATTGTGTAAAATCATAAATTGTTTGAACCTTCCCCAGACAAAGGCTGCTCGACAGCACAAGCCTAATGCACAAATGTTGCAGATCACCCACTCACAATAGGCAGAAATTCTCCTTCATATTTTGGCTTTTATGTTCAATCAAAGCCAATAGACTTTTGGTGTATCTTTGATTTAAAGATGAAAGAGGTAAACAGGAATTTCATTAATATTCAGTTGATCGCATGTCCGAGACAACGTGTGGTATTTTTAAACCAGCTTTTAACAAGAAAGAGTATTGTATAACTAATAATGTAAACAATGATGAAAGATAATTGTATAAAATATATCATTTTACAAGGAATTGCAAAAAAAATTAATAAAATACATTGGTAATACATTTTATCTTTGTGTGTTTTTTTTAAAACGACATTGTCTCTTTCAAGATGTTTAGATTTTCCCCTTTTTCCTGTTTACCCTGGTTCTGGTAAACAACGCTTGAGAGCCTGTGGCAGCCTCATTTGGGCAGTATTACTAGGATCGTGGTAACTGCGTGAAGTGCAAGTGGTTGTTTGACATTCTGTTCTAAAATTGGAGGCGATTTTTAAATTAACGTTTACAGATCGGGGTCAATCTTATACTGATGCCAAAAAATAATGGTTTACAACCATTGACCAGGCAGCTATATTTTAACTATCAGCTTAAGACAAGCCCACTGTGTGTTGATGTGATTACAATAACTCAGCGATTTAGGATGACGTAGGCAAAGAGCTGCTCTGCCCTCTGGTGGTAGATAATTATTATGACATGACTGAAAATTCTGAGAGACAGCTTGAAATGTTTTCTGATCAGCCGGGTATCTGGCACATGCAGAAACCCATCACCATGCTTAGGAGTATCCAAGCAAAACTGCGAATTCCATGCATCCCACCTACACGTGGAAATCCTAGAGGTGTTTATTGGAATGGAATGGAGGGATGCATCCGGCTTTCCTAATTCTGGAGAGTATTAGGCCCAGATTGGCAAGAACCAAGGCTTGGGGACCCAAAGTGTGCATTTGGGTACTGCTGGAGTCTAACCAGCTAAAACCACATAGCTTTCCACTGCTTGTCCAGCACCTTCTCAACAACAAGTCATTTTCTCACCTCAGGCGCTGACTGCATCAATCAATGCATACTCAACCTGATTGAGTCAGTGTGGAGCCTTGGTATCTTGTTGGATTCCCAACTGTCCTTTAATCCTCACATTTGTTCTCTGGCCCGCTCAGCTTTCCCCCACCTCTGTTATTCTGAATCTCTGTGGCAAATTCAAACTTATTTCACAATCCTTAAGCCCTAAAAGCACGCTCCCAGCTGACCTTTGGGTGATGTACAGAGGACATGGTATAATCGGATCAGCAGTGGTCAAGAAGCATTGGCACCTAGGAATGAGCAGGTTTACCAACTCCTAGCTGAGCTACCAGCAAGAGTTATTTATTTATTTAGCATTTTTTCTCAACAGTGCATCACATTTAGCATTTTGTCTTCATCGTATCGCTTCTTTGGAGTTTTGTACTCATTACAACAATTCACACACAATCCATTTTCACCAGTGATTCATTCAGCACTGTTCAAGGCATATTCATCCAAGGACCATTTATCCTTTCTTCTTATTTTCTCTTTCCACGTCATTTACATTCATTTAACTTATTAATTATTCCCACACTTGATTAATATGAATAAGTCAGACCATGTGGCATCAGAGGAATAGTTGCAGAATGGATAGCAAGACAGAAAACAGAGAGGGGTAAAGGGTAGCTACTCAGACTGGCAGCGGGTGGGCAGTGGTGTACCACAAGGATTGGTATTGGGACCACTGTTGTTCACAATTTACATTAACGATTTGGACTCAGAGATCGAAAGTACAATTTCAAGATTTTGAGGACAA